TTGGAATCATATTGTAAATGTTTTTTTTTTTTTTTTATTTTTGATTTTAATTAAACAATAAAATTCACAAAAAATTATCAAATATAATCCTCATCACCATAAAAAAAAAAAAAAAAAAAAAAAAAATATATATGTTTAGTTATTATTGTTTTTTATATATTGTTAATTCTTATTTTTTATTTTATTTTTTTTAAAGATTTTATCGAACAAATTTTTTATATGTTTAATTGACAAATTCAAAATTATTTGTAAAAAAAAAAATTCGATATAAATAATTTTGATAAAAGAATAATTTTGTAGATTGGTACATAAAAGTGAAAAAAAAAGTGTGTGTATATATGTGTGTGTGTGTGTATATATATATATATAAATAAGCCCTATGCAAGAATATCATTTTTTTATTTTTTTTTTTCCCCTGGAATTTATAACTTTTAATAATTTCATTCTGTTTTGTATGGTATTACTAAATTTTCAGAAAATGATTTCACCTGTTCAGCACCTCTGACTTCTTTATCTAACAATGGGAGTTTTGTAACATGAAAATCTTCATACAAATCAGCAATCTGGAAAATTATTAATACAGGTAATTTGAAAAATTACAAAATATTTATTATAAATGTTTCGTTTAAAAAAAAAAAATCGAAAAAGGTATTCGAAAAAAATTTTACCTGATCTAAATATTTATTTTGAACTTTATGTCTGGCAGAACACATTCTACAAGGTTCTTCATTTTTCAATGGGAATAATAATTGGTTAACAATTATATTGTGTGTGTCAATGCCACATTTGGTTAATTCTTGAACTAATCGTTCTGTTTCATATAATGATAAAAATTCAGCGATGCACACACAAACAAATGTTGTTTGATCCTAATTAAAAAAAAAATGTTTTAGGTTTTGATATTAGTTTTAATTAATTAAAACTTCAATTTGAAATTTTTAATGAATAATCAAATACTCACAGGGTCCCTAAATTGCTCATTAACTTGATGTATGACAGCTAACATGTCTTCCATTTTAGTTGAAAATATCTCTGCATTAAAATCAGTCAAACCGAATAAAGCGGACATCTTTAATAAATTTCAAATACATGTTAATAATTTTGTTTTAATGTTTAACAAAGTATTTTATATATATAAATTTGTTTTCTAACCTGACTTAAAAAGGGATTTATTTTCATTTTTAAACGAAGTAATTTTCCTAAACCTTTTTCGACAACTTGTGGAAATGATAACAACCTTAGTGTGTGACCAGTTGGAGCCGTATCGAAAACGACCACAGAAAAATTCATGCTTTTAACAAGTTTCATGACTTCTGCATAACTCATGGCTTCATCTATACCAGGAAAAGCTCCTATAATTTCCTGCATAATCCCTTTACTTAATTTCATGGCTTCACTTTCATTTTCAAAGTATTCTTCTGGTAAATCATGAAAGCCTACATTGGGGTCAATTTCCTGTTTAAAAAAAAAATCATTAAATTAATTTTCCTCTAGAAAAAAAAATTTTTATATATTAATTAAAAAAAAAAAAAATATTACCATGGCATATAAATTATTAAAACCATTCACTTTTGTAGGAATTTTTGAAAATTTTTGGTCGAAGGCATCTGATATGTTATGAGCAGGATCTGTTGAAATAATTAATACACTATCTCGAACTTTAGAAAGCTGAACAGCCAAACTGCAACTGAAACAATACACATAAAGGTCAGCATAATTGAATATTAATTACTTTTAAAAAAAAATTATTCTTTGCATTTTCTTACAAAGATCCGAATAAATTTCTTTTTTTAATCTAGATCAAAAATAAAATTTTAAATAATTAGTAAAATTTATTTTGTATAAGTGATGACTTTTTTTAAAATTATGAGCATGTAAAAATGAATTTGCGTTTGAAAAACGATGACGTGAGAGTAAACATTAATAACTTTAAATTAATATATTTCTTTGAAAAAAAAAAAATTTGATTTTAATATTAAATTACAAAAAAAGAGGGATTTTTTGCACGAAGTTTATACGGTAACCATTGTAAACAAGGCATTTAAGGCAATACAAGAAATTTTTCAAATAAAAAATTTTCAAAATACCTGCAAGTTGTTTTTCCAACCCCTCCTTTTCCTCCAACAAAAATCCATCTTAAAGATGTCTGATCAATAACGTTTTGCAAAGAGGGTTCTAAAGGCATAAATTCACCTTCATTCATGTTGACATCACCATTTTTCTCTTCGAGTGCAGCCATCTTTACGAAATAATATTCAAAGGAAAAACTTTTATACGCATTCCTTCCCTTGAAAAAACCGTTTCTGTTAACTAAATGACGTGAGATTTTCTTCAATACAGATTTTATTTCTTAAAATGTCATTATTTAATTAATTTAAATATAATATATTTGTTAGTTTTTTAATTAATTTTACTTAAAATATAATCTGTATTGCATTCGTTAACCTTTATATTGTTTTATAATGATGCACATATTAATTGTTTAAACTTTTTTATTTGGTCCAGCAGATAAAATGGCGAAACTTGTTGATGGGGCTATTCTGAGTGGGGTAAGATTCTAAAAATACTCATTTTTTTAATAGAATAATATTTTATAATAGCCGGTTTTCAAAAAAAAATGATTAAGGTGTTGTTACATCTGACTTGTTAAAGTTAGAATTACTTAATAATTACTTTATAGTTTTTTCTCTTTGTTATGATGTTACAAGTAACAAAATTTTTTAAATAATTTTTGACATTTTAGGGTGGACAAACGTTTAGAATGTCAATTGCTTTAAGTTCTCTTTGTCAATTTCCAGTGGAAGTTTTTAATATAAGAGCGAACAGACCTAAAGGTGGTGGCTTATCGTATCAACATTTAACCGGTCTTAGATTAGTCAAAGAATTAACTGACGCCGAAGTTAAAAATGATACGTTACGTTCCACGAATGTTATTTTCGAACCGAAAAGAATTAAAAGTGGAACGTTTGTTGCTGATACTCAAACAGGAGGGTATGAACCTGTTTATAAGGTTTTTTTTTTAAAGAATAAATTTATCAATTTATTTATAAGTTTTTTACTTTTTAGAAGTGTGACATTATTACTCCAAATTTCTCTACCATGTATCCTATTTGGATCTGATAAAAGTTATATTACATTAAAAGGAGGAACAAATGTTGATTTTGCTCCATCAATCGATTACACGATTAATGTATTTAAACCTATGCTTCAAAAATTTGGAGCAGATTTTAATTGCGACATTGTAAAAAGGTAAATAAAAAAAATCATTTATAAAAGGCTTTTAGTTATTTTATTTCATGCACACATTGACTTCTTTTTAAAAGTTTTTAACCGAAAATTATAATGAGTAATGATTAATTATCAAATAATTCAATTAATACTACTATTATGCAAAATATTTTTCTCTGGCCAAATACAGTGCATGGATTTCATTTATTTTTTATTTAATGAGCACTGATTGTAAAATAAAATTTGAGTTCACTAAATTTATTTCACTGAAAATATTCAATTTGTGTTCTTAAATTTTTCCAGATTTTAAATTTATTTTTGCCCTTACGAATCATTTAAAAATTAATTTTCACTTTTTTTCCCCCCCCCATTTTAGAGGTTTCATTCAAGGAAATGGTGTAATATCGATATCAGCATCACCAGTTATGTCTTTATCTCCAATCGATTTGATGGATTTTGGTGAAGTGGAAAGCATTAAAGGAGAAGCTTTTGTATCTGGAGTTTTACCCTTTTCTGTAAGTAAAATTTTTTAAAAATAGATTTAATTATTTATTTATTTCATTGTGGTTTATTGCATATTTAAAATTTTATTTTAGATAGCCAAAAAAATGGCTCAGGAAGCTCAAAATTTGTTAAGTAAAAATGTAAAAACAGAAATTTCAATCAAACCTGTAAAATTTAATGATTCAGAAGCATTCGGTAATGGATGTGGAATTAATTTATTCGCTAAAACAACAACCAATATTTATTTAGGGAGTTCCATTTTGAGTGAGTTATCATTTTCATGCATTTTTTTTATTGTGTGTTCACAAGATGTTAAATTAAAAGTAATATTGTTATTCTTAAATTTTTTTAGAAAAAAAAGAAGATAGAGATAGAAACGTTGGAGAAGAAGCTGCTAAAATATTATTAGATAATATTAAAGGTCGACGATGTGCAGATGAATACCTTCAAGATCAGTTGATTCTTTACATGGCATTAGCCGATGGTAAAAGTAGGATTAAAGTTGGTCCGATAACTAATCATACGGAAACAGCCATTTACGTCGCTGAATTATTAACTTCAGCCAGATTTAAAATTGATAAAATTGATGATAATGACACTAACGTAATCGAATGCACAGGAATCGGTTTTAAAAATAAAACTAAACTTAATTGAGTTTTTTCTTTTAAGGTAAGAAGCAAAGAGTAAAACTCATATCACAGTTTTCTTTCTATTCCTACTATTTTACCCGTTAATTTTTTTTGTTTTCAGGGTTTTTAAATTCTCAAATGCAAAAATTAAAATCTTTTCTATGATCTTTTCAAAATATTTTTTATGTTCTTTCTTTTCTTTACTCAATTTCTGCCATTTAATTATTAATATTGATTTATTATTGGTATTAGGGTATCAATTTATTTGTTGAGTCAATCAATACTCGAATTTTTTTTTTTTGTAATTTTTACAGTAAATTTTTTATTATTTTTATCTGTATCACCCGCAAAATATTATTATTATTATACGTATTAATTTTTTTTTTTTTTAAAAAAAAACTAGGTATTATTATCGCTATTACAATAATTAATAATTTTTATATGTTTTTTTTTGTTACCTACATGACGTCATCACATTTAACTTATTTATGCGTTTTAACTTGGAGTTGTTTATATGATAACGATGATTTTCGTAATGATTTTGTAATAAAATTTGATTGCCAATAAAAAAAAAAAAAAAATCGCAAGAGTTCACGTTAAAAAAAATTTTTTAACGTGAAATAATTAACACAATCATTTGCGTTTCTAATTAAATAAATAATTTCCTTCTTTTTCTTTTTCTTTTTTTATTATCAAATGTTACTTGTTTAAACTTTAGACAAATGTAAATTGCACATACACAAACACATTTGATTTGTTATCAAAAAAAAATCAAATTGGTATTTTTAACTTGAAAATTTTAAAATTTCTGACCTGTTTTCGGTGTAATATAGTCTTTGAATTTTTTATTTAAATTTTTAATAATATGGCGGAAAATTAATAAATTTATTATTATTATTTTTATTACATTTCATCAACGAAAAAATTAGTTTTTTTTTTTTTTTTATAATCATTATATTTACATGAATTTACCTCGTCCTCAATTTGTTAAATTTTTTTTACAATAGGTTATAAAATTATAATTTTTTTTTTATATATATTAAAATTTTCGAGTTGAATAATGATGCGTGCGTGTGCGTGTGTGCGTGCGTGAGTATATCCGCGTTTTACCTATACTTTTTTTTTTTTTTTTTACTAAATAAGGTATTATGATTGTATAATTTTTTTGTATTGTCGAACGACGAAGAATTGTGAGAGAAAAACAAAGAAAAACCCCCTCGGCCATTTTTTTTTAATTATTATTATTATTATTAAAAATAATAATGATAGGTGACTTTAAAATAACTGTATATGTGCGTTTGTATGCGTGTACAAACAAAATTCGAGTTTGGATTTTTATTTAAAAAAAAAAAATTTTCTCTTTTCGATAAAAGATCAAAACGGTA